AAAATAACAAAGGGTGCATGGTGTTCACCATGCACCGGTTCCACGGTATAACTACTCATTTAAAAACAATGCTTATACCGTGGAACCGGTGCATGGTGAGCACCATGCACTCTTTGTTATTTTTTATTTCTACTTTTCTTAAAATTGTTAATAATTTTTTTATTTTTGATCCGATTTTTATAAAATTTATATCAATTTTTTTTTTATTTTTCATGATCTTTCAAAAAGAGACCAATATTGCCTATGTAATTTTAATTTTTTACATTCATACATTTTTTTGTAATATATTTTTATATGCATACACTTTTTCTATAATATTTTTGTATCACTTTTATATGTTTTTAGATGTTTTTAAGATATTGAGTTTGTTTATTTTGCTTCTAGCTTGGAGTTACATTTGATAATATATGAAGTTACATCATCTTATACTCCAGTTACAAGTTATTATGTGTGAGTTACATCTTGTTATGTGTGAGTTACATCTTGTTGTACACGAGTTACATACTTTTATGCGCGAGTTACATGTAATTATTTGTGAGTTACATCTTGTTATACACGAGTTACATACTTTTATGCGCGAGTTACATGTAATTATGTGTGAGTTATATATCTAATTATTTGTGATTTTTTACTTTTCTTTATCTTGAACTAATTCAATTATAACTGAATTAATTTTTTTCTTTGCCAATTTAATACAAAATTTTATTAATCCAAATAAAATAAGTATATTGTATTTCATATTTATACACTATTTTTCGAATGATAAAAATGAAAGATGTAGCAGGGGTTTATTTCGTGGTGTAACTCACATACATTAAAATGTAACTCGCGTATATTAAAATGTAACTCGCGTACAATAAGATGTAACTCGCGCAGAAGAAGATGTAACTTCATGATATATTATCAAATGTAACTTCAAAATAATTTGTTAAAATTACATAAGCAATATTGGTCTCATTTGATAGATAATGAAAAATAAAAAAAATGATATAAAATTTATAAAAAACGGATATCAAATAAAAAAGTTATTACAATTTTTAACAATAAAAGAAATAAAAAATAATGGAATCCCACTGAAGCTGCGTCGTTTTGCAACCGGGCGCACCATCCTCATGGTGCGCCGGTTGCAGGATATAAATTGCGACTAACAGGGGTTTCAAATTTTGTACATTAGTTTCTCATTATGCCCTTAATTTGGGCAGGAGTTTTCCCTCCAATTGTTGTCCAAACACTGTTATTTTATACTCCGTATTATATAAAGTCTGAGTCTTTTTTATTTACCAATTTTGTACTACAATTCCAAACACAAAAATCCCGGTCAAGTCCACTTCTATTCTCACCGGTAGAATTCCACCAAGAGTAATAACAAGGGAAAATGGAAACTAATAATCCAACCTTTTTGCGGTCTTCTTACAATAGTCTCACCTTTTGATTATTCATGAATAATCCAACCTTTGCACCTCATCTTCATTCACTGGTCCCTAGTCGATTTATGACCTGTTATTCCAAGTTATTTTCTTATCTTTGCAAAACATTATGTGATCATAAGGTGAGAATTATGGTATAATGTTTTACAAAGATAAGAAAATAACTTGGAATAACAAGTCATAAATCGGTCAGAAACCAATGAATGAAGATGAGGTACGATGCAATAGTTGGATTATGAGTTAATTATCAAAATAGGACTAAAAGTCATTCACTTTTCACAAATAGGACCAAAAAATAAACTATGTTTGCATAGGACTAATTATGTGTACCTTGGACAATTATACCCTTATAGCTATTAAAATGTTTTAATTCCTAATAAAATAATAAAAAATAATAAAAATTCGTAAAAAATACTTAAAAATTAAGAAAAACATTTCGATATTAAAAGTTTAATTATTTTTTTTTCAAAAAATTAAAAAAATTAAAAAAAAATAAAAAAAAAATAAAAACTTAAAAAAAAAATCGCCGCCGCCTCTGCCGTCTCAGCACCACCACCTCCAGTCACCAGGGAGAAAAAATGCCAAGTTCATTACGAATGCCATATTTATGGCAGAAAAAATGAAAATGTTGGCATTCGAAAAGAGAAATATGCCACTTTTTTGGCATTTTCAGAAAAAAATGGCATTTTTCTGGGAAAATGGCATTTTTTTCATCGGCCGGAGGTGGTGGTGCTGGGAGGTAGTACAGGCGGTGGGAAAGGCATCCATATTTTTTAAAATTTCTTTTACGGAGTTTTACTATTTTTTATTAATTTTTTTAAAAATAAAATTATTTAAAAAAAATTGAATTTTTTATTTTATAAAAATTTTATAAATTTTTTAATTATATTTCTACGAAGTTTTGTATTTTTTTCGAATTTATTATGAATTAAATATTTAATTATGGCTTTTGACTATTTTTAATTCATATTTAATGGAAGGGTAAGAATGGAATGCAAAAATAGGTATGTTTCCAATAGGACTCATATGGTCCTATTTTGGAATAAAAACATAGCAAGTCTTATTTTAGGTTTTTGCCATAGTTTTAGTCCTATTTGAACTAATTTCTATTGGATTATTCATGAATAATCAAAATGTGGAACTATTGTAAGAATACCGTTAAAAGGTTGGATTATTAGTTTCCATTTTTCCTAATAACAATACTTTCTTAATAGGTTGTTATCCACGCTTCTGATCAGGTTGAATAACAATAGTTCCGTCGTAGAAGCTGCTTTAAATATTAAAGTTGTTTTGATTTCAAGTATTGTTCGTCTAAATAAATTAACTTTATCTCTCACTAGTCACTAAGTCACTACTACCATTCCATTATAATAAAAAATTATTCCCATCGTCTCATTGTCTCTTTGTCAATTTTTCTTTTTCGTTTGTCCCAAAAACTTTGTCACTTTGCTTTTAAAACAATGAATTTGTTTCTTTGCACATTTCTTTCTCCTCTGCACAAATTTCAAATACACAATTTTTTATTTTTTAATTTCCTACTCAACATAAAGTTGGCAAAGTTGAGTGGGGCAAAGGTAGTACTTAATACTCCCTATTTAGGATAATTCCCTATATAGGAGAACATCAAAGCTAAATTACAAGAATAGGTGTCGAAGTTATAAGTTCCCAAAATAGGATTAATTAGTTCTCTATATGTCAATTCTATTTTTATATTAAAAAATTCGGTTTTTTATTTATAAAAGTCAAAAACATAAAAAAATCTGTCGACATCTTTTGGCGGCGTGTGTTCCTTTCATAACTATCACTGTTGATGACTTGAAAAATGCAAACTTTTTTGTCGGAATGCCAACTTGAATCTATAATGACATTTGCAAAGCGAAGTATGCCTTTTTGAAAAGTGATAATGCCATCATTATGGCATTTTCAAGGTAAAATATGGCATTTTTGAACAACCAAAAGAAAAAGAGCATCTAGACTTGCGATTAAATTAGAGAGGAGGAGGAGGAGGAGGAGGAGGGAGAGGGAAAACAATGAGCTATTTCACTCTGGTCACCAGATCTGAAATCGCTACTCGTCAAAACTCCTACACTTCTCGCCAATGCTCCCTCGTTGCTGGTTGGTGTTCGCTACACCAGGATGTTCGTCGTTGCATGCTTGCAATTGGAGATGAGGAGAGGAGGGGAAATTATCACCATTGCTCATTGCTCGCAACACCTCGGAGCTTGCTATCTTGCAATTTGAGTTGATAAGTGATGGTTGCTGTTGTACACGATTGAAAAAAGTTAAAAGGAGGTTACATTTGGAACAATGGTCTTATTTAGAGAATAAAAATATAGCTACTCTCACTTTGGAATTTGAACAACATTTTACTCCTATTTAGGGCAATTTTCCTATATATTTTTACACCACGTGCCCTGAAATAAAGTGTTCATTTCAATTTATGATATTCAATGGATGATAATCAGAATTTTCATATATTGAAAGCAATTCAAACTAAAGTAATACGTAGTATTAGATAATAAAATCAAATACGAACCCAACAGAATAACAATTTTGACACAAATTTGCATAGATTTTTATTAGGGCTTTGTGCTGATGTTTTTGTGATAATGCGGCTTTAGGCATGAATTTGTGCCCAATTCCTACGAATAATTTTTTCACGAAAAGACTAGCACGAAGTCATTAAGAAAATTCATTCAAATTCATGAGAAATTTGCATCAATCCTATTGTTTTTTATCTTGAACTTCGTTTTGAGATGTTGATAGTGTTATATTTCAAATGACATATCATGTAGTATTGGACGTCATCCTAGTTCTAGGCGTAACTCAACCCTTCAATCTCTATTATATTGGTGCAAAAATTATTGAAATTCTCATTAGGACCCGTTAATAATGTGAGGATGGTGTGGTTAGAGCACACTTATACATTGAGCGATATCGAAGGATTATCGTCGTAATTTTGTGTTCTTTCAAAAAAATAGAATATTCATGTTTAGAGCTGTCTAAATGGGCTTGGAACTAGACCTAGAATCAGTAAATGCACATGAGTAGAATATATATTTTTAACCAAGTTGTGACTAGAAATACACATGGACTAACATATTAGAATTTGACCAAACCCGATGCGATCAACCATGTGTTAACTATGGAAAGGCATGTATACCCTGAGGTAGGTGAAAGACTTGTGTATTGGGGAAGCTCTTAGCTAACTCCTAGAGTCCTAGATGAAATAAAAGATACAACATGTCAACATAGAATTGGGGGTGTGATGGGCAAGGAAGCCCTAAAAGGTATTGAAACAAGGGTAGAGGCTTCCTCCTATGGTCATATTGTTGAAGATGTAAGAGTTACGATAGCTAGTTTTGAGAGCATTAGTTTCATTAGTGTTAAGAAGTGAGTGACTCAAATAACTTGTGCACTCATCATAATTTTAGTTTCCTTATCTCACGATTGGTTGACATTTTATTCCTCCCTGTTTGTGGACTCCTTGAAGCATGTTAGTACACACAACACTTATATACACACAGAACACAAATACATAATATTCATCATCATTACCCCAATGCCGCAAAGGCTCCCACCTATGGTTGGATAAGGGGAGTTGGATGTACGAGCCTTACTCCTGTACTAAAGCACATAAAGACTGTTTCCGGATGATCCAAGATGAAAATCGCGTCAAAAATTGCATGGACTGACTGCTGCATCATAACAAAGAAGCGCAGACAATTTAGTGAGTCATTTTGCTTTATTCCATCAAAATGGTTAAATCTACAGTTTTATGTATTCATTTCTTAGTATACATTGATTTCTTATTCACTCGTACTCTGGTTTTATATCTTTAGTGATAGAGAATAACTTGTTACTTATAAATTATACACATAAGGTATACAGGTTGTGAAAGCCTTCTTACTTAAATTTGTATTTCAACTTGAGGAATCCTTTTTTAGACAGTTAATTGAAGATAGTAGTTTAACGCTTTTAATTTAGGATTCAATTATAAATGGTTGGTTGCTAAAATTATTTGCAATGATGTGTTCAACTTAGGCTGAATAAGCTAGTGGCATGGGTTTTTATGGTGGATGGAGGATTAGTTACACCTCTATACATTACGGCTCAAATCATCATTACTCTTTATATTCTTGAATTGGGTAGTCTTAAACTTGGATCGTAATTTGTTGGTCTGGTCTGGTCTGTTTAAGTCTGGTCTGGTTTGGTCTGTTTAAGTCTAGTCTGGTCTGAACTAATCTGGTCTGGTAAATGTTTGGTCTCTTTGTATTTTATAACAATGGAAGTCTAATCTGGTCTGGTCTGGTCTGTTTAAGTCTGATCTGATCTGGTTTGGTCTGTTTAAGTTCGATGTGAGACTGAAATAAGTCCAAGTAAAAACATGCTAACCAATCTATCTTTTAAATTAAATGCAACAATTTTCACGCGCTTTAAAGAATCCATTTTATTTTAAGAGAAAAAAGAATGACATATGTAGGAGATTTTTTGAAAGGATTATGTAGGTTGTCTTTTATTTAATTTTGTACCCTGCCACTCAATGTCCTACCTTTACCTGGTGTGAGGTTAATCTTGATTACTTGGAGTGGTGAAGTGTCAAAAATAAACTCACCTCATCCATTTACTGAACTATTAGGACCGTCCAAACCCTGACATAGGTATTCTTGTATATACATTTTGTCTACATTTTAATAATATTTAGAGCGATTCCTTAAAACTATTATCTCTCTCATTGCAAAAAATATATCTTATTTAGTCAATCGAAAAACTTTTGTTATTTACACTTCAAAAAATAAATATTTAGTTAAATTATTTCTTTCTACTCCAAACAAGTCTTAGTTAGGTTGCATATTTTTACTTTTCTTATTCCATGTACAAGTAAATGTTGGAAAAGTGTTATAGGATTGAAGGCGTACATGCACAAGGAAAAAATTTACATATGTGGCTCACCCCAACATCTCCTCAACAGTAATGGCTTGCTAGGTGAACTTTGCCCATTTTGAATTACGTGTGCTTGAAATTTGTACAGAGGAAAGAGAAATGAGCAGAACCTTAAGTTAAATTAGTTACTTTAATTGAAAAGTGAAAAAGTTTTTGGGACAATAAAATTAAAAAAGAAAATTAGGCAATTAAAGTCTAAAAAGGACAGAGGGATCGAGTATATAATATCTGTTGAAGTATTTGTCTGACATCAGAACGATATAAAACTATACGATCTTGGACTACACCTTTTTTAGATTGGAATCAAGTCTTAACACTATATATCATGTCATCAATCACATGCATCCATGTGGTCGTTTGGTTACATAAAGTGATTTGATTATGTGCAACGAACGTAAGACATAGAAGAAGCATGGGCAACCTTTCACCATTGTTTGAGCGCAACACAAGAATGTTATGTGGAATAACAAATAACTGCCCGTCTTTGCTCTCACTCAAATCTGCACGTACTACAAACAACCTAAACAAACAATTCAAACACATGCAACTCCAACCCCACAACAACCTAGCTAGCTCCTCACATAACATAAAATACATTACTAATTAACACCATGCACGTAATACTATATGTCAATTCTCAACAGGTGGAATTATACAAGCTAGTTGAAACACATTAATACTACGTTTAGTTCAACCATAACCTGATCTTGAAGATGATGAAATCTTCATTGAAAGATAGAGACAATGTCTCAATTGGGACATTATCATCATCTTCGTGTGAGAGGTCTCAAGTTGATCAAGAGATGCAATCCAATGCAACAAGCACTTGTGGCAATGATGGAGAAGTCACTGAGGGACGTTTGTACACTTTCTTGCCTGAATTTAACATGCTTCTCATCCGCCAGGTAACACCGCCAGCCAAACAACTACACTGAGCTCGTATATGTTCTGATGTGACATGTTTAATTTTAATTACATATTTCATCCGTTTCTTATAAGAATTTGATTTTATTTTGGGAGCTCTCTCTAAAACAGGACTAAATAAAAGTAAAATTGCAACAATAGGAGTTTAAAGTTTAAATTTCTAAAATAGGATTAACTCATCCTATTCTACTATTTCCCTCGTTATTCTTAAGACCGGTATGTTTAGGGGTCTTAAATATGGGTTTTCAAGGGGGGTATTTACTGGAGAAGACCGGTATGTTGCCGGAGTTACCGCACATGGACGGAGTCATGGTCTAGGAGAAAAATCGCCGTGCGAAAGGCGGAAGAGATAAGAGAGAAGATTTTGTCACCGGACATGGAGAGTATTTCCTCCATCTTTGAAATCCATGAGAAAGACAAACTTTTAGTAGGTGAAGAAGAGACATGCAATTGTGTGGTGGAAGAAGGAGATGGGAAAGAAAAATAGATGATGTGTGACATCCAGAAGGTAGATCAATTCAGTAAATATGAGGAGAGTAAATTTAGAAAAGAAAAGCGGGAGTCAACAACTAAAAGCTCCTATTTACGGAATAAATCAATAGAAACTCCTACTTTGGAACCTTTTTATTGTTTTACTCACAGTAATATTTTGTAATTAATACTTATTGCTTAAAAATTGTGTGATAGCGTTATTGCATACTAAGTAACGAAATAATTCCATATTTCTGCAAATTCAATACTGGAGTGATGTCTCAATTCAATATATGTTTATCTTGATCATGAGTTAGAAATTAGTATCGCAAAACAATATTCCCTTCGTCCCATAAAATAGTTCTCGCATTGACTTGAATCGGAGTTTAAGAGAGTGAGAATAAAGTGGAAATGTATGATTGTGGTTGAGTAAGAAAAAGGTAAATAGATGTGAGTCACACAAAACTTTTCAAAAAAGGAAATGAGAACTATTTGTTTGGATGGCCCAAAAAGGAAACCGGAAACTATTTTGCAGGACGAGGGAGTAGTAAAGAAGAAATGAGTGAGTAATAATTATTTGAGTTGAAGTGCAGATTATGGCAGAAGCATTGGGGACGTACATGATAGTGTTTTGTATATGTGGGATAATATCAAACCTAAAGCTGATGGGAGTACAAGTTGGGCTGTTGGAATATGCAGCCACTGCTAGTCTTACTGTAGTAGTTGTAATCTTCTCCATTGGGCCTATTTCTGGAGCACATTTGAATCCTTCTGTTACCCTTGCTTTTGCAGCAATTGGCCCTTTTCCTTGGCCCAAGGTAATAACATTTCATTTACCTTTGATTTCAATTTCTTTCATCCACAACATTTTCAAGCCATAGAGAAGTTTGAATAGATATTTTGATGTAATAACGAAATATGATTGTTAGTAGAGGCAAATGAGTGGATTATGATGGTGCTTGATTAGGAAGTTAAGGGTGTTTGTTTTTAATTCATTACTGTATGGATTGTGAACTATTCCCTCCATTCCAATATAGTTGTTTCACTATACTTTCCCATGGTTCTAGAGTATGTGTCACACTTCATTTTGTTGAAATGGAATCAATCTAAAAATAGATTGAGTACACCTTAATATAGTGTACACTAGTGTGACCAAAACAAAAGAATTTTGTATGTACCTACCTTTTGTAAAACGTAAAATATACCTAGAAACGCCATATTAGAAGGTGTTTGAATCTACTTCTTATATCTGGCTCTGCTCTTTCAAGGAACATAAGTATATATTGAAGTCTTTGGGTTAAGTGTAGAAGTACTTTTGGGTGCTCTAAAATTCTCTAGAAATAGTTTTTTATAAGCTAAGGGGGGCTAGGTTCTATGATTTTGATTCTACTTCTAAAAAAAGCAGCGGAATCAATTACTAACACCCCTAATCACATGAAATGTCTGATTGTTATTTTAGAAGAAATGGAGCAAAATACTTTAGAGACTATGTCTTATCGATTTTGGAAAATAATCTACCACACCATTAACAATTGTTTATAAATGGAGATATAGTAGGATTTTTTATTGATTATACGTTTTAAAAGTTAATAGTAAAAGTGAACTTATTAATCAAATTGTTTGAAGGTGCCCCTTTATATCATTGCACAATTGGGAGGTTCTATATTAGCCGCAGTATCAGGAAGATTGATGTATGGAGTTGGGTATGAGCATATGATGACAAGACCACTCCATGGATGTTATGCAACATTTTGGGTGGAATTCTTGGCAACCTTCATAATTCTGTTCGTTGCTTCAGCTTTATCTAATGATCCTCAATTTGTAAGTTAATTACTTCCTATCTAGTATATCTATTGTGCTCCACACCTTAAACTAAATTTCACATGGTATAATTACACAAAATAAACAATTACAACTCTGATCGATATAATTCTAAAAATAGCATTAAAACTGAATCTTTAGGATGAAACTCTGAATCTTAACAAGATATTAGAGCTAAACTCATCCATACTCATGGTATGGGTCCCTGTAAAAAGTGACAACATGATTATAAGAAAATGACAATGCTAAATCGATGAAAAAAAATAAGGAACAATGAAGATGAAGTGTCTAACTGTGAGGAGGGGTGTCTGAAGCTCCGCACCGATAAATCTGAAATAATAGTGTTATATTAATATTATATGCTACTCTTCATATTAGGTTGACCTTTGAGAATGGAACTCGAATCTTAACATAGTTCAATTCACATCCCCTCCCCTTATTTCCCCTCGAAAACCCATATTTAAGACCCCTAAACAACAAAGTCAAATAATTTAACTTGAATAAAAACAACACCGTAGTATATTTTATCTTAGACACCCTCACTATGCATTCCCCTTTAACCAAATAGAGTTTGATTATAGCAATAAATGGACCTTTGTCCTCTATAAAGGCTCTCAATTGTTTTACAATAAGTGACAAATAAAAAAGTTAATTTCTTTCTAAAAAGTTAATTCTTTTGTGATGATATGTATTGGCGTATTTGAACACAAATTAAAAGCTTTATTGAAGCACAATCATCACTGAATTCGAATATAATAAATAAACAATTTGTATAATCAGATATTCAAATGTTAAAGTAGAGTACAATTTATAAGATGATGATGGTGTAACAATGAAAATTGAACTTTTCAGGCAGGGAAATTGGGTGGATTTATTGTTGGAGCATCCATTGGTTTGGGAGTGCTAATCACCGGGTAACCAATTAATGATAAACATCATCTATCTATTTATAAACTAATTATTAATCACATCACATTCTAACACCAATAAACATATATACATGCATGTTCAGGCCAGTTTCGGGCGGGTCAATGAACCCAGCAAGATCATTAGGGCCGGCAATTGCTTCATGGAGTTTTGACAAATATTTGTGGATTTATGTTGTTTCACCGACATTAGGAGCCATTGTTGGCGTATTCGTTTACCGTCTTCTACGACTTCAAGGATGGTCTTGCGAGCTTCCCGATGCTTCTTCTATACTTAAGTAACAGTCATTTGATTAAATGTGATTGTCTTAGGGGCAAATGAGTCCTAGACAACTTGAGAAATGGTTATGACTGGCAATGTCGGAGTCATAAAATTGATCGTGAGGGTTGAAACTTAACTAAGTACATATAAAAATGGTTGATCGTTTTTAAACAATATATGAGCCGAATGTTTCATATGTAGCTTAGATAATGATAGTTTAAATGAGATTAATAGAGTTACAAGTTTAGTACACATGTCATATACATTATAATTTTTACATAACTAATGAGAGTATAAGTATATTGGATGCTATTTTTAAAATTTGAGAATATAATCCACAAGCTATTTTTAGTTATTAGACCAGGTCAACTTTGTATATACGTAATTCTAACCTAAAGCTATCATAGAGCTAACGGGTAAGCTTCTGTAAAACTAACTTATGTATTGGGCATCCGTACTATTACAGAGAGAGAGTCTTACCCTCACCTGCACATTGAATACCCTTTTCTATAAATGCTCATATCACTCTAGGTATTCAATACAACATTTATTCTCTCATCTACTCTCTGTAGTGCAACTATTATTGTTGATTGTGGTTAAAAGGGGACTTACACCGTCAACCCATTATTCGCCTCTCTTAGGGGATTACATTATTGATAGAATTTCCAGAGGTGCTCAACATTCCTTGTCCTCCGACTTTAGATTTCTAGTTTGAAGGTGCCCTTCCCGAGCGTCAAGGCTACCGGATGGGGCCTCCCAAGATTCTGAAAATCCGATACCTTCAATCGGTTTTTGTTTTCTCTCCCTTCCTAAGCACGAGGTCACCTTCTTGGAATGCCCGAGTACAAACTCATTTGTGAAAGTATCTCAGGAACCCTCGATGATATTCTACCATTCTTCTTGTTGCTAGGCCGCCCTGCTCTTTTATGAATTTGAGCCCAACACTCAAATTGTGTTCAATCCATTCGATTTTAAAGTTCGTTGTGTGATGCATGGGTACAAGTACCTCAGTCAAACGGTCGACACTTGTCCTCGGAAGCAAGAGGATAGTGCAAATGAAGTTTTATCGTTCGCAGGGTCATCCGGTAAATCTGGAGTACATGGTTTAGTTGGTCCTGCCATATGCACAATTGACACCTTAAGTTACCACGTCAGATGCACACCTCATAGAGTTCGTTTGGTAAGTGAACAACTTGATTAGGTTCAAAGGCTTATTTGACCCCTTAACTTTTCACATTAGATGCAGAGTTGACACCTTATTAGGTGACATGACAGTGACCAGAACATTACCTATAAAATGTGAAATTCGAATCTTTCTATCGAGTTTGGGGTGTGAATTTGATTGTTTTAGATCAATGGCCGAATTGAGCATTCAGACAAGTACAATGACTTATCTTACCCTTTAGCCACCTCTTCTAATCTTGAGTTTGAATTTCTACTTTAAGTTGGTATAGTTTGTATTAGACCTCCTTTGGTAAAATTAAACTTGGTTGAATCTGCTCAAATCAATGAAATTTTAGTTGAAATGGTTGTATTTGTTGAATTGTGAAAATATTATATTTCAAATATATTTTATTAATAAGATAAATAAAAAATTATATAAAATATCTAAAATCATCCTCTTCAACAATTATAGTCAAATTAGCATGAATTGTAACTGTATCATCACTTTACTTGAGATATTCCAATGAGAATATTTGCATTCGATGAAATAACTTTGTAATATAATTATGCGAGTGAAATCGTTTTTTACTACCCTTCATCTCATAATAATGTAAGATATGTGAGTTTGGTCTGGGGTTTAAGAAAATTAAAGATGAAGGGACTGTTTAACAATTGGGAAAATTTGATTTTGCATCCCATATTTTGGGTGACATTTGACTTTGCACCGTACTTTAAAATCATTAATGTATCCAATCATTCACATATTTTGGGTTGATGGGGTGCAAATATTAATGATTTTGGAAATAGGGTGCAAAATACAATATCACTCAAACATATGAGGTGCAAAGTCAAATTCTCTCTTTACAATTTCATGTTTTAAAAACGAAGAAATGTAAGATGAATTTACAAAAAGAAAGAATGAAGTGATAGCTAAAGAAAGGGGAGTGGGAAACTAAAAGTCAATGAAATTCAATGAGAAAAATGTTCATACTTCTTAGACAATATAAAAAAGCGTATCTGATAAAATGAGACAGCAAATACATTCGTAATACAGTAAGCTCATAAATAAAGGTAATAAGATGAAAAAAAGGTTATTAAAGAGGCTCTTAGTAACATTACTTCAAAAATGATATTACACAATGTGTACTCAGATTTAAGGACCGTTTACAAGAACTTAAAAAAACGATTTTCAACTTTTGACTCTAAAAAGTTAAGATTAGTGTTTTAAGTGATAACTTCTACTTAAAATAATATTTTAAAAGCTAAAAGCAGGAATCAGTGAGAGATGCGTTTTAAACTGCTTTTTTATTTTTCTATAACATTTTTTTAACAAACCCTACCAACTTTTGCTTTTTCAAAAACATTTTTTTTCATCACCGTCAACTTTTACTATTAAGTATTTTCTCCAAAATAACTTTAATTTTTTTTTAAGTAGAAGGAATCTCAAACACTCCCTTAGACTCAAAAGTGGAAAAAAGTTGTAGTTATCTAGATTCTAGAGGACTAAATAAGTTTTGTATAAAAATAACTTGGTAAAAATATTTTCATCTAACTTCATGTAATTAAATGGATACCATTTCGACTTAGGAATCTTCTGATTGTACTAAAGTTTTCTAATTTGGTCTGATCCATTTAATTCAGATATGATTTAATGTGGTTTAGTCTAAAATGATATGATCTACTTTCGTAAATATCTGTTTTAAGGGTATATGTTATGCAATTGTCTAATCTTTTCTAATCTGATCTAGGCTATGTTTGGCCCAACGAGCTGAAACTGGAGGCTAAAGTCTGAATTATGGACTATTGTCTGAATCAGAGATAATTGTCTGGAACTGAACTTGAAGTGCTGAATCTGGATTGTTAACTGAATTGAATAGACCCGTTTGGCAACAAGAGCTGAAAAAGTGTCGGAACAATATCAAATTACATAAAAGGGCATATGATATATTAATAAAACAATTTATTATTAAGATTTTATATTTTAATAAATATTAAGATATTACTCCGAATACTAATAAAAAAATTTGAAAACTCATTCCAGAGCCCAATAAGTATTTTCTGGCCAATGAATGTTCTTTTGCAACTCCAAGAAATTATGTTCCACACCCATCTGTAGATTATAGAAACAAAAAGAAAAAAAGAATTCCGGAGAAGATGGGGGAAATGCTCATTAGCTGAATGTTTGTAGCTAGTCCACCCACGTCTGACGTCCCATTACTAGAAATCTGTTCTCGTCATCATCTTGTACTCTAAAGATCATAAGCCACTACCTCAACTTGTGGATAAGAATTGATTTTCACTGCTCTTTATAAAGCCAGAGAAGATGAAAGTTGGGAAAAAGAGATACAGTCCAGGAGAAAAGAAGAATGACAAAGGTCGGGGATAGTATGGGAACGGAAGTAAAGTTTAGAGGGATGTCAAAAAAACCCGACCCGCAATGACCCGCCCTAGCCCGAGACATTTGGGGCGGGTCCGCCCCGCCCCGTCTTGCAAATGGGGTGGGTCCGCCCCGCCCCGCCTATACAATGGGGCGGGTCCGGGTACTAGAATTGACCCGTGCCGCCCTGACCCGACCCGACCCGACCCGCTGAATATATAAGTATACATACTTTTTCTTAAATTATAGTACTACAAATATACTTCAACATACATATGTGTATATACAATAAATCATAAATTCTTTGATCTTATAATATATGAATACGGAGTATATATTATAATGAGATGCACAACGGATTATCAATGTCTTCTTTATATATAGAATTTTAATACATATATTCAATTATTAATATAACTAATAAGATTAACTATTCAATTTTGAGTAATTTTTCCTTAATTTTTGAAATTTTTAGCGTATCATAAATTTGATTTAATATATTGATTTTTAATTATTATTTAGAGATAAACATTATGTAGATTCAATTGGTAACAACTTCCCACAAAAAAATACATACTAGCTAATTAGGTTACGGCGGGAAGGGGCGGACCCGCCCCGCCCCGCATGGGGCGGGTCGTCGGTCAACAAATTTGGACTCATGCAGGTCACGGGGCGGGGCGGACCCGCCCTGCCAAGTCACGGGGCGGGTCCGGGTCTTGCAATACCCGCCCCGCCCCGACCCATTGCCATGCCTAGTTTAAAGTAAGCTGAACAAAAACGTTAGGATGAGAAGCGTTCTCATAATCTCATTCAGTCCCATAATTTCATATCCAGTCCAAATAAGTTGTTTTACCAAACAACATTACTTTTAAAATAATTAGTTGAATTTAAAAGATTTCAGCCCTTTTTGAGCTGAAGTGGCTTGCCAAACATAGCCTTAGTCTGATTATGTCTTATTGAGTCTGATCTTTTTAAATACATTGATATCCATTGGTCTGATATAGTGTCATCAGTCCAATTTAAATAAAGAACATAAAGGATATCAATTTATTTAACCAAATTTGAATTAGAGATCCATAATCCTTGTGTGCCATCCTACCTAACACCACACCAACCCCCTTCAACCAATTGTATCTTCCCTTCTAAAAACTCCCCTCCAAGAATGTTAACAAACCCTTTCATCAGTCTCACTCAATGGCTTCTTCCTATTTGTGTCCAGTCAAGCACGCCCTATCATATTCCAGTCCCACCAATCACAACCTCCTCAAAGTCAGAAATCCCCGTCGGGACTTCGTCGTGCGACTCCCGGCCGCTGGAACATGCCGCGGTCTATTGCAGTCGATTGGTGCGGCCCCAGAGAAGGTCTTCGCGGTTCCCGTGATGGGCGACCCGTCTCAGAAGAGTAAAACCTCATCTTGTGGGGTTCCAACGATTGTTGAAGTCGATTTGGGTAACCGTAGCTACCCGATTTACATCGGTTCTGGACTTCTCGATCAACCGGAGCTTCTTCACAGGTATACCTCATTATGTTTCTCGATTGATCTTTTTCCGTAGCTGATATAAAGCGACCTGCTAACTGTAAATGATAATATACTGTAGTTCGATCCTCAGTTCGCCAAGTTTTTGTTTCCTTAGACAGTTAGAGTGTTAGGCAATGATATATAGCTAGTTTCCCTTTTCAATTTAAGGATGAGTAGATGGATCGCAAGCAATATTGTTTTTTGTTTTTGTATTTGCAGGCATATTCATGGAAAAAGAGTTCTAATAGTAACAAATACTACGGTAGCCCCTTTGTATCTGGACAAAACTATTAGTGTTCTAACGGATGGGAATTCTAATGTCAGTGTAGAAAGTGTGATCTTGCCAGATGGAGAACAATTTAAGAACATGGTGTGTAGGTAACTTGTGGATATGCATTTCAAGAAGAAAAATGAAATAAAATAACTCTGACCAGTGTTGTGAATTGTGAATGCTCAATTCGTATGTTCTCTTTTTGTAGGAAACTCTCATGAAAGTTTTTGATAAAGCTATTGATTCAAGATTGGACCGGAAAAGTACATTTGTTGCTCTAGGTGGTGGAGTTATTGGTGACATGTGTGGATATGCTGCTGCTTCTTATCTTCGCGGAGTTAATTTTATTCAGATTCCCACAACTGTTATGTCGCAGGTAGACGAATGAGTTTCCTCTCTTTTCAATCCACTAATAATCATAAGAACTTACTATCTTGTGATCCTCAACAACATTTTCATTTTATTTTTGTTCGTTAAATTAGGTAGACTCCTCAGTGGGAGGGAAAACTGGAATTAACCACCCGCTTGGCAAAAACATGATTGGTGCCTTCTACCAACCTCAATGTGTACTTATAGACACAGATACCCTGAATACACTGCCAGACAGAGAACTAGCATCTGGCCTAGCGGAAGTTATAAAATATGGTCTTATAAGAGATGCCACCTTTTTTGAATGGCAAGAGCAAAATATGCCAGCATTGCTAGCGAGGTTATAACCTTTGTTATTCTTGTCTATGTAGTGATTGAATACTTGCCGATTCTTCACATAGAAATATTTAGCTAAATAGTTACTTCATCCATTTTTTGTTAGTTGCAATAGTCAACTTTGCACATTTGCTAATGCAAACCTTTGACCGTCAATATATCTTATTCTCTATTAGTAAAAAAATTAAAATTAGATTTTGAAAATTTGTAATGTGAATAGTGTAAAATTCAACATGTTGCGATTAAAAAACGGAGGATAGTATGTGGCAAAACAACAACTTTAGATATGTCACTGCCAAATTAACTTTCATTTTGAACAACATAAGTTTTGTCTATATGACCCTTTCTTTTCTTTTTCATGACATAAGTTCTTCTTTCTCCTTGGATTGTAACAAAATCATATAATTTGTGATGTATTTCACTAATTTGTGTTTCATATGGGTCCACACAGTCAAACCACGTTTTGAAATGCTCAAAGTTAGTATGGGTGAATTGAGAAAACTAAAAGTTGGTGTTTTTGAGAAAAAAGGTAGGATAGTGAACATTTTTTGTGACACTAAAAACGTACGGACAAATAGTAAAATGAGACATAAATGAATATCTAATTCAAATAGAACCAAGAGGAGACATAGATGAATATCTAATTCAAATAGAACCAAGATGAGACATACCAATATTTAATACTCCCCCATCTCTTGTAACTTTGCCAAATTTAATCGGTATGCTAAATAGTAAAGTTAAAATTGTGTGGTTAAAGTTTGTGTAGATTGGTGTTTTAAAAAAGGTAGGATAGTGAACATTTTTTGTGACATGCTTAAAAAATTAGGAAAAACAATAAAATGAGACGAGCAGATAATTATCGAATTCAAATATTACCCTTGTGCTTGATGTGTTTGTTATTGTTGCTGCAGGGATCCAAATGCATTTGCTTATGCTATCAAGCGTTCATGTGAAAACAAGGCTGAGGTGGTGTCATTGGATGAGAAAGAGAGTGGATTGAGGGCCACTTTGAACTTAGGCCACACCTTTGGCCATGTAAGTGTTTTGGCCGACTTCTGTTGGGACACTCTTATCTTTTGTAATTCTGTTGGAGAATTTTGTATAATCAGCTTCAGCCCTTGGAAATTTAATTCATTTTCTATGTTTTTATGGGCTATTGTGGTGTAAGACTGCGGTTTCATATGGCCATCCCCCTTTAATGCCAATTTATTTTCAGATGATATGTCGAATGACTGTACACAACATTTTGTCATCCTTCCGTAGTTCCATGAAGGATGTTGTTCTACTGAATCACGCATTACAATTTTTTTCTACCACAGATAATTAGTGTCCATTAGGAACGCGAAAAATGTCAGAGAAAGAAAATTAGAAGAAAAGTAAAACATAATTGAAAACCTAATAAATCTAATTTAGATATTTTTGTCAAACTCTATTCAAGTATATATTGATAGTATTAAAGACTAGGAAGTCTAAATATATACAATGTTTTAGTTTTTTAATCATATTGAATTTTTGTTGTATTTTCCAATGCAAAAACCTAATATAAGATAATAAATTTGCTTGCCATTTATTCGTTCCCGGGATATTTCTGAAATCTAAACACAGTGCTTTTTTGGCAGGCTATAGAGACGGGTGTTGGCTATGGGCAGTGGTTGCATGGTGAAGCTGTAGCTGCTGGAACGGTAATATTTTTCTCCATACTTGTTTGTTTAATGAAATAGAAAGCATCTATCTACAAAATGGAGATATGGAACCACCCTTGATTCCTAAGAAGTAAGTGCTCTTAATCGTTGCAGGCTATGGCTGTTGACATGTCACACCGCCTTGGGTGGATTGATGATTCTATTGTACATCGCGTAGATAAGATTCTTCAAGAGGCAAAACTACCAACGATACCTCCAAAAACCATGACAGTAGAGATGTTCAAGTCCATCATGGCGGTAATAAGAGAAATTATATTCCTCACACTCTAAGTTTTACCTTTTTGGATGCCCTCAATTCCTCAAACAAGTCATCTTTCCAGATTTGATACGTAGTATTTTTCATCAATTTACTCTACTATTGTCAAATAAGAGTAACTGCATAATGTCAAGCAAATATACCCTACAGTAACATTTACAGTAAAAAGATCTGATTGCTTGAACTTGGAGAAGTGAAAACTAGAAACTTTATGAAGGCGGGTCACAATAGTAATAAAGAACTAATGTGTCAAATTTTCGGTGCTTATATTTGTACAATTTCTTATTTTGAAAATGTGCAGGTTGATAAGAAAGTTGCTGATGGGAAGCTAAGAATGATCCTATTGAAAGGCGAGCTTGGGAATTGTGTATTCACGGGTGATTATGAGAAAAAGGCCTTGGACGAAACACTCCACGCCTTTTGCAAATCATAGTGTGTCATGGGCAGTAAAGAGAACCCGTTTCTTCACAAAATGTTAATGCCTCTACAGGTTTCGTTATCTTCAAGATTGGAAGATATGTTGGTGACAGTGGCTCATTAACATTCATGTAGTACTCGGTCTCTCCACGCTCCTAGCTTTCAAACTTTTGTACTCTTTTTATATTGTATATTTGAGTGTCATGTCGACAGCATGGTTCAGAAGCTGTTATTGTTTTGTGTTTTGGGCGATAATTAAGAAAATATGATTCTGTAATAAAAGAGCATGGAGTTGGATTATCTGTAATATGTATGCAAAAAAAAATATCATTTGAGTTTCACCTTCACAATTTAGATCATATTGTTGCTCACTTGCTCCCATGGGTTGAGTTTAGTTTCACACGCATAATATATTAAAATAAGGGAAAATTACTTTAAATAATACAAACTATCTTGCAAGAACCAAGAATAATATGTATTTTGAAAATAACTTTTAATAATACCAACTATGTAAAATAGACCAAAAGTAATATAAAGCATTTTTTACTAAAAATTCAATCGTTTAATTCACCAAAAAATAATATTAAAATATCAAATAAGTGATTGTATTTCCAAATATTATTTATTTGATGGGTTGCTATTAGTTTTTGATGACTTCGATGATTGAAATTCTTGTTGAAATGTGACTCCATGTTATTTTTGTTTTATATTCAAATAGTTGATATTATAAAAAATCATTTTCAAAGTATGTATTATTATTGGTTGATGAACGATAATTTGTATTATTTAAAGTTATTTTCCCTTAAAATATAAGGCACAAGATAGAAATACGGGTTGTCTACTAGTTCTTTAACGTGTTCTTAACAGATCAAAAATTACTTATTTTATGGATTCTTAACCGCTCAAAAATTAGTGATATAGGAGGTCCGTGGCGTTCTAAAAGCACTTTTAAGAGGCATCCCAATATAGAATTTCAATGATTTTCAAAGATTTTGGAAGAATTTAATAAGTGATTTAATTTGATAAGCATTTATTTAGTGTTGTTTTCAGTTAAGGATCTATTGGGATTCATTAGCCTGTCATTTAATAGAATTTATACTCAAGAAAAATTGGGCATACCTAGAACTGACTAGAATGCATGAAATTCTTAATTGGGAACACCTAAATTGTTAAAATTTTAGAGTTAGCATCTATTGGAATTCTATGAAAATTTAAAATCGATGAAATTTATATTGAGAACACAACAACAACAACATCCAAGCCTTAATCCCAAAAGAATTTGGGGTCGGCTAACATGAATCGATCTATGATATCGATGCCAAAAAAAGAAGACGGACAAAAAAATGAAAAAAAAGTAAGATAAAATGAATAAAATAAAGATAAATAAATATAAGATAACAATAACACAAGAATAACAATAAATATATTGAGAACACCATTGACTGAAACCGAGAACTGTTAAGGAATATGAATCCATTTCTTTAAAACAACGATTTGAAGGAATGTGTATCCGGTATTTACACGAGTCGTCTACTGGGTTGAGTCTTGCTAGTCTATCAAAGTTAGCTAGTGAAACTAGATCAAATTTTACATGCTCTCAAAGTTTGGATCTATAGTGATATGTGGGAGAAATGCCTGCCAACTTTGTGGTCTGTTAGGATCTTATCCGTCTCCGGCTCAGGTCTCCAACCACTCTAGACTAAACTCACACACACCCTCTAGGGCTAGGCCACAACATCTCCCATGTTTACTCACTCTTCTTCACTCCACAAAGGAACTCTCACACAAGGAAAGGAAGAAGGAAGACACTGCTCTCTGGAAGAGGAATTCACGCAGGCTTAACTCAAAGGGGCAAACAAAGGACTACAAATAGGCTGCCAAGGGAAGTCACGGGTGAGGCTAATCAACAGGTAGTCACGGGCTGCCAGACAAGAGGTGCAGCGGACAACAACAAAAAAAGGGGGGGCTCACATATTGTAAGTCAACAGGCACCAATGAGTGATTTCAACTAAGGGAATCAAAGTGGGAGTAAACATGGGGTGCAAGCCTTAATAATAAAGTGGAAGGGAGGCCTTGGTAGGACCAATACCTCCAACATTCTCCACCTTATTGGTCCTAGGTGGTGTAGAGTAGCAAAACAGGTTGTGAGGAGACTCATCATCGTCGGGTCACCCGGAATATCAACAGATAAAACGGGCAAACACTTTATTACGCAACCCACAGTCATCCACAGTCAAAGTTTAACACGCGTTTACAGGACAAGTGCTTCTCAGCAGAAAGACACTTGGTACCCATATCCGCAGGGTTAAACTCTGACGGGATCTTGCACAGCTTGACTCCACCTGCATCAACAATATCACGTATGAAATGGAACCTAACATCAATATGCTTAGTTCTATCATGAAATACAGGATTTTTGCAAAGTTGGATAGCCGATTGGCTATCCGAGAAAATGGTAACTCCCTTTTTGAGAAACCCAATTTCGGAGACAAGGCGTTTGAGCCAGATGGCTTCCTTAAACGCTTCTGTGGCTGCAACATACTCGGACTCAGTGGTAGAAAGGGCCACAATAGGCTGTAGTTGAGACTTCCAACTAATGAAAGAGCCACACAAAGTAAAAACATAAGAAGTGGTCAACTTCCTGTTATCTCTATCATTTGCATAGTTAGAATCAACATAACCAAGCAATTCAATACCACTAGCACATTTAGAGAAAATTAATCCATGCTTCACAGTAGAAATCAGATATCTAAGCAACCACTTAAGAGCATTCCAATGGGGCAAACCAGGGTTGGACATATATCTACTCAAGCAACTAACCGCATATGCAATATCAGGTCTAGTGCTAACCATGAGATACATCACCGACCCTATTGCACTGGAATAAGGCACAGATTTCATTTTCTCAATTTCAGGAGTAGTCTTGGGAGACTGGTCCTTACTTAACACAAAGTGAGATGCCAAAGGGACATTAATAGGAGAAGCAGATAACATATTGAATTTACTCAAAACTTTTTCTATGTAAGAAATCTGATTCAAAGTAAGAGTACGCTTACTCCTATCCCTAACAATGTTTATGCCTAGGATCCTCTTGGCATCACCAAGGTCTTTCATGGCAAAATTCGCACAAAGGCATTTTTGCACATCTTTAATAGCATTCAGAGAAGGACTAATTATCAGCATGTCATCCACATAGAGTAACAAAAATACAGGCACAGAAGAAGTATTTTTGAAATACAGACAATGATCACAAATAGATTTTTGGAACTTCAAAGATATCATGCATTTATCAAATTTAATGTTCCACTGCCTAGGGGATTGCTTCAAGCCATACAATGCCTTCCTAAGCAAACAGACATGCTCACTTCTCTTGGGATCCACAAAGCCCTCAGGCTGGGTCATATAAATTTTTTGTCCAATTCACCATGCAAAAAAGCAGTAGTTACATCCATTTGTTTCATTTCCCAGTCATGGTGAGCAACTAAAGCAAGCATCATACAAATAGTGGTGAATTTAACAACATGAGCAAAGATTTCTGCATAATCTACCCCCTCTTTTTGAGTAAACCCCTTCGCAACCAACCTAGCCTTAAACCTAACATCACTAGGTTCTTCCTTAACCTTAAACAACCACTTACACTCAACTACCGAACAGTTGGGGGGTCTAGGTACAAGGGTCCACGTCTGGTTCACTCTCAAAGAGTCCATCTCACTTTTCATGGCACTAATCCATTTCTGAGACTCTTTGGAACCTAAGGCTTCACGGTAGGTCTTGGGTTCATTCAGCTCTAGGGATTCAAACACAGAAAAAGCAAACATAGAAGTATCATGCACAATGAAAGCATAATCAGGCATACTATCAGCAGTTCTCCTAATAGCCCTTCTACCCCTATCTCTAGCAAGTTGATAATCATGCAAATTATCACTACTAGGCTCCACATGCAACTCATGCAAATTATTGTTGTCATGAAAATCAGATTCAGCACCAATATCATGCAAATCATGCTCAATATCATGCAAATGTTCCACCTCACTCGAGGTGGTGGGACTATCATGCTCAGAGGAATCAGAATCATGCATAACAATATCATCAGTAATAACAGGATCAACAGATAAAGGACTAGCAGCAACAGGGACAAACTCCACCTCACTAGGAGTACTATCAGACCTAGACTCAGGATTAGAAACAGACTCGGTCAAGCAAGAAAAAACAGTTTCATTAAACACCACATTTCTGCTAATGACCACCTTAAAGCCTACCTGGTTCCTATCCCATAACCTGTAACCCTTTACCCCCTCTGGATAACCTAGGAAGACACATTTCTTAGACCTAGGATCCAACTTATCACCCTGTTGATGTGCATACGCTGCACAACCAAACACCCGAAGGTTAGACAGATCAAGAGGCTTACCGGTAAAGACGGCTTCAAGACACTTACCACCAAGTGGGACAGACGGGGACCTATTAACCAAATAGGCAGCAGTAGTAACTGCTTCACCCCAGAATTTGTTAGACAAACCAGAGGTAGCTAACATGCTTCTAACCTTATCCAACAGAGACCTATTCATTCTCTCTGCTATCCCATTCTGTTGGGGAGTATAAGGCACAGTTTTGTGCCTTTTTATCCCACAATCCACACACAGCTTATCCATCTCCTTATTACAGAACTCTAACCCGTTATCGGTCCTAAGGGTTTTAACCTTCCTGCCGGTTTGGTTTTCAACTAGGGTTTTCCACTCCCTAAACTTCACAAACACATCAGACTTGTGTTCTAAAAGGCAAACCCTCACCTTCCTAGAGAAATCATCAATAATAGAAAGGAAATATTTCCTACCCCCGTGGGTAGGAACACTGGCAGGACCCCAAACATCGGCATGAACATATTCAAGCACAGACGAACACTTAGACAGATTAGGGTAAGAGGAAGGAGGGAAGCTGACTCTATGCTGCTTGCCTAACACACATGATTCACAGAAAGGCACAGAAGTCACATAGTCCTTACCAAAATAACCAGCCCTACGCATGACATCTAAACCCTTATTGCTCATATGTCCTAGCCTATTATGCCACAAAGAGGTCTTATCAGAACATACAACATTCACAGACTCAGTAAAAGGTTTAGCATGACACACATAAAGGTTATTCACCTTCTCAGCTTTAAACAACACAAGAGAATTTTTCAAGATTTTCATGCAACCATTCCCCCATTTTCCCTGTAAACCACTACTCTACAAAGCAGCAACAGATAACAAGTTATGACACAAATCAGGGACATGCCTCACATTCTTAATGGTAAACACAGAGCCACAAGAAAACTTCAGACATATATCACCCACACCAAGCACATTGCATCTCTTATTATCAGCTAAGGAAACATAGC